TCGGGAACCGCCGAAGCCGAGGTGACCCTGCCCGGGGCTGAGATCCAGGCTCCCGGCGCCGAGCTGACCATCGAGGCCGCCGCCGGAGGAGACGCGGAGAAAGGCAGATTCAAAATGCCCGACGTCAAGATGCCCAGCGTCAAACTGCCCAAAGTCAAGGCTCCCCACGTGCAGGTCAGCCTGCCGAAGGCCGAGGTCTCGCTGCCCAAAGCCCAGGCTGAAATCCCGGAGGCTGAGCTCACCCTGCAGGGCCCCGAGGCCGAAGGCAGCCTGGACGCCGCTCCCGGAAAAGTCGAGGGCAGCGGCATGAAGCTGCACATGCCAAAAGTCAAGGTGCCCGGCGTGGCCTTCTCCAAGCCAACCGTCAAGGCTCCCAAAGTCGACGCAGACGTCAGCCTGCCCAAAGTCGACGTCAGCCTCCCGGAGGCAGAGCTCAAGGCCGGGGCGGGCGACGTCAGCCTCTCGGCCCCCGACGTCCAGCTGCCCTCGCTCGAAGGCTCCCTCAGCCTCCAGGGCCCCGAGGTAGACCTGAAAGCGCCCTCCGCCGAAGGCGCGCTGGACGGAGCCGAGGTGGAAGCCGCCGGCCTGAAAGGGAAGATTAAGATGCCCAAGTTCGACAAGCCCAAATTTGGAGTGTCGCCCCCGAAGGCCCAAGGGCCCGAGGCCGAGGTCAGCCTGCCCACCGCAGAGGTCGGCCTCCCCGCCGCCACCGTGAGCGCCGCAGGGCTCGAAGGCCCCGCACTGGGCCTCAAAGCCGACGTCCCCGGTGCCAAAACCGAGGGGGCTGGCTGGAAGGTGGAAATGCCCTCCCTCAAAATGCCCAAAGCTGACATCAAAGCTCCCAAGGTGGACATCGGCCTGCCCTCCGTCGACATCACCCTCCCAAAGGCCAGCGTCGACCTGCAGGCGCCCGAGGCAGCCCTCACCCTCGAAGGGGAAGCAAAAGCCCCGGAGAAGGAGGCCTCGAAGGCGAAGGACAGCAAGTTCAAAATGCCCAAGTTCGGCATGCCTTCCTTTGGCTGGTCCAGCAGCAGAGAGGCCAAGGGCGCTGTCGCCGCCGACGTGGACGTGAGCCTCAAGGAGCCCCAAGTGACGGTGCCCTCGGGAACCGCCGAAGCCGAGGTGACCCTGCCCGGGGCTGAGATCCAGGCTCCCGACTATGGTGTTCCCATGGCTTCCTTCTCTGGAAAAGATGTTGAGATGGGTAAAACTAGAAGTTCTCTATTTAAAATTCCAAAAGTTTCTCTTTCAAAAACTTCTAAATCAGAGATGCAGAGTAGGTCCAGTAGTGATTTTGCTCGGTCAGAATGTTTTTCTTATATAGTAGCAGAGGAAGCTCCCGTTATTCCTTCAAGCAGTGTCGGACCAAAACCTTCTCCTGATGATAAGGGAGAGACTGCCTCTAAAAATACTAAATTTAAAATTCCTAGTTTGAGTTTCTCTAAAGTTGATATTAGTTCTTCTAAAATTGAACAGCTTTCTGAATTACCGAAAGGGGATGTAACTCTCACCAAGTATCAAATGAATTTACCAGAATCTGAATGCAAAATATCACCTCTTACTGATATGAATCTTTCTGCCACAGATTTTGAAATTTTACCTGAGGAAGGTTCTTTGGAGCCAAGTGTTCTGAAGTCAGGAGGTGAAACACCACTTGCTGAAATATCTGTGGATGATACAGAATATACAGTTAAAATACCTAGATTCCGAAAACCAAAATTTGGAATTTCTTGGTCTAAGGGAAGACCACCAGAAAGTGACATTCATTCTAAAGTGGAATCTGAAATTTCCAAGGAAAAGAAGACATCTGATATGTCTGATATTGGCAATGAAACTCCAACTCAAGTTCCTGATACTGAATTATGTGTAAAAATGCAAAAGCCTTCACCTGAAGTTGTTTTGGATGCACCAAAGTTGGATATCATTCTTCCCTCAATGGAAGTTACCATGCCAAAGGTAGAAATGGAAATCCGACATTCAAATTTAGAATGCAAGGCGGAACAGGAAGTGATTTCAGGCGAGAAGGATACTGAGGAAAAAGAAATTAAATTTAAAATGTCAAAATTCAAACTGCCTTCATTCCGTTGGTCCCCAAAGAAAGAAGCAGTTGTTCCTTCTGAAGTTGAGGCACATCTGGAGGAACCCATCCCACCTGCTTTATCTGGAGATACAGAATCTGAATTTAGACTAACTATTCCTGAGAATCAATATCCTAGTATGGAATTGGATACATCAACAGAAAAAGATGGTGAAAAGGGCAAAATGAAAAAGTCTCCATATGGCATGCCAAAGATCTCACTCTCTAAAGTGAAGGGTCAGAAAGTCCATGTCTCTCTGCCCAAACTAGAAACTGATGTCTGTGAGCCCAAACAAGGAAAAGAAGGAGGTGTTTCAGTGAAGAGGTCTGAGAAAGGGAGCAGTGGAGATGAGGCAGGAATGGGCATAAAGACACCAAAAGTTAAAATCTCGACCTTGGAATTTTCCAAACCAGAAGTCAAAGTTCCCAAAGTAGACATGGATGTTAGCATGTCTACAGGTAAGGTCATACCTCCTACATGTGAAGTCAGTCTTCAACAGGTTGACCTGACATTGAAATCAGCTGCTGCTGATGCCAGCCTCTCCAGCTCAGATGTTAAGATGAAAACAACTGAAGGTTCCCTTGAGTTGAAGAGTCCTGAGACAACTGTTGAAAGAACATCAAGTGAAATTACTGTTGGTACCGTAGAAATAAAACATGAAGGTCCTGAAGAAAAAGGTAAAAAGTCTAAATTACAAATGCCAAAGTTTGGAATAACACATTTGAAAGGAAAAGTGCCAGAAAAGGAGGTCATCCGATCCAAATCAGAGATCGGTGTTCCCCAGTTAAAAGCAATGATAGAAATTGCTGACATTGGCGTTGAAGCACCAAATTTGGAGGTGGAATCTGCTGCAGAAAGCCCTAAAGCTCAAATGCCCGAAGCTGACAATAGGGTATCAAAGATTGATGTCCACCTCCCATCAGGTGACATTTCTGTCCCAAAGACAGACAGTGATATTCAGGATTCAGATACAGTACCAAAAGTTAAAGAGGAAATAAAGCATGGAGATGTAGATGGAGAAGAGAAAGAGGGACATTTCAAAATGTCAAAATTCAAACTTCCATCCTTTAGTTGGTCGCCAAAAAAGGAAGCATGTGTTAAACCAGATTCTGGAGCACATCTGGAAGATCATAAAATTACTATAGTGTCAGGCAGAATAGGCACAGAAGAGACAGGAACTGCAACTGATGATCAAGGTCCTAGCACAGCCCTTGATCTGGAAATTTCTGCAGGAAAAGGTGAACAAAAAAGTCAAATTAAAAAGCCGCAATTTGTCATGCCTAAAATTTCACTCTCCAAAATCAGGGTTCCCAAATCTCAGGTTAATTTGCCAAAAGTTGAAGCTGATGCTACTATTCCTAAAATAGAAGAAGATGGTGATGATTCAGTACGGATACTTGATATAGAAAGATGTTATTCCAAAAGCACAGATGAGGGGGCACAAATAAGTATAAAAATGGCTGAGGTTAAGATCCCTACTTTGGAGTTTTCCAGAACAGAAATTGGAGCCTCCCAAACTGATATGGGTGTCAGCTCAGGAAAGGCTGATCTGCCTGCCTCAGAAGCCAGTCTTCAACAGGTTGTCCTAAAATCAAGTTCTGCTGATGAAGATACCAGTCAAAAGAGAGGGATTAAGCTTCCCAAAGGAGAAGCCTCAATTGAACTGAAGAGCCCTGAGACAGGAACTGAAGGATCATCAGTTGTGGATGGGAGAAAGATGAAATTGGAAGGTCTTGAAGGGAAGATTAAAATGCCCAAATTCCAGAAGCCAAAGTTTGGAATCTCCCTAATAAAAGGGAAAGGGCCAGAGCCTGAGATTAGCTCTCCAAAAACAGAAGCTGAGCTACCCCAGCTACAAATGACAACAGAAATTGCTGATGTTGTGGGAGTTCCAGCATCAGAATTTAAATCTGATACTTTGGATCCTGGAGCGGAGGTTTATGCTGGGAAGATCATAACACCTCAGGTTCCAACAGCTAGCACTGAAGTTCCAAAGGTAGACATTAGTCTCCAGTCAGTGACTACATCAGTGACAGAGGGAGCTATTGAGAGCCCTGAGGAGAAGGATATAAAATTAAAAGAAGGAGAAATAAAAGTTCAAGAAATTCAGACTGAAGAAAATCAGGGATGGTTTAAAATGCCAAAATTCAGAATACCTGCATTTGGCAGGACATCCTTAAAGGAAAAAAAAGATGATGCTGATGTTGAAAGAAGTCTGGAAAGGCCTCAGGTAGGCATTGCCTTTGAAAAAATACAAGCTGAAATAAATATTCCTGAAAATACGTTATCATTGCCATATGCAGTCACTGAAATTACTATTGGAAAAGAGGACATTCTCAAATTAGGAGATTCTGTGAAGAGTTCTGATGTTAGCTTGCCAAAGATGGAAGGAGATATTTCATTATCTGCAGAAAGAACAGATAGTAAAGTGGATATTCCAAAAACTGAAACTTATGCAGATGTAGTCAAGCACAGCGCTGAAGGACAAAAAATGCATACTTTGGAATTCAAAGTATCTTCAACAGAGTTGTCTAAAACAGAAATAAGTGCTTCAAAAATTGACAAAGACAGCCCAAATAAGTTTCCTACATGTGATCTGACTCTTCAAAAGCACAAAGTCAATTTACAGGATATAGAGATCCCCAAAATGGAAAGTTCCATTGAGTTAGAGACTTCAAGAGTAGAATTTAAACCTTCATCAGCTGAAATTACTCTAGATGCAACACAGGAAAAAATAGATGTTAGTCTTCCAAAGGCAGAGCTGGATATCCAAGGCCAAGATGCAGCAATAAAAACAGGAAAGATAAAGGATGAGACGAAAATTATAGGAAAAGATGGTCAAGGAAGCCAACTGAAAATGCCTGTATGTGAATGGTCTACAACAAAGGGGTCAGAAGATGATGCTTATGTCGCAGCTAAACTGGAAGAGCTGAAGACAGAAGTTCCAGGAGTGAAAATGGATGTTAAAATCGGTAGAGTAGATCCTGAAATAGAATTTCAAGTGGAAAGTGTTGAAAAGGACATGTCTGCAGGAGCGGAAGTGCAAGTAGAAGGCAGAGAAGAAACAAGTAAAATTAAAACATACAAGTTTAAGATTCCAAAGTTTGGAGTGTTGCATTCGAAAGTGAAGGGTTCTGAAGATGATATCAATTTGCCTGAGTCAGAAGCTGTTTCGATGCCTGAAACTGAAATAGGCACAGCAGAAATCCTGTTTCAACAATCAGAAGGATCATATGGCCAGAAAAGTCCAACTCATGATCGTATCGAACCATCTGCCAGAATGACAATGGACACCATGGACAAATCAGAAGAAGATCTGGAAGTAAATATAAAAATTCCAAAATTAAAAATACCAAAATTCACTTTCAAAGCTTTCCCAACTGAAGCTGATGTTTCAGTGTCAAAATTGGCAACAGATCGTAAAGGAACTAGTACTGACATTGAGGTTGTGCAACTGGAAGCAAGTTCTGCAACCCCTGCAACACCAGAGGCTCTAGAGGGTGGTATTCAAAAGGCAAAAAGCAAAATTCTATTGCTGTCTGAACCTGACATTAAAACAGCACAGATTACTACTACCATAGACTCCTCTGGTAATACAGGGCAAGATATTCATTGGTCGTATGTAGAGGGCCACGAAATACATGAGAAAGTGGAACCTGAACATGTTGCTATTGAAAGATGTGAGATTTACACTACTGAGATAGTGAAAGAATCAGAGATTCTCTCGTCGGAAGTTAAAACTGCTACTTTGGGATTCTCATTGCTCAAGGTGAAACTGCCTGAATCACATAGTAACTTGGATGTGCTAGTTCAGCAATCTTCTACAGAATATAAAACTGGTGCATCAGTGAGCAAACCTAAATATTCTGGTGAAAGCTTTGGAGTATCAGCAGAGACGACTGGCACTGAAGAGCTTGAATTATCTGACAAACCACACATTGAGACTGAAGCATCTAGTGGAGTAGTATCTAGTGGCGTCAGTTTGCCAAAGTTAAAAACATTTGCTGTTGAAGTAAAGCCTTCCAGTAAACTGGAAGACAGTCATCATGACAAGCCATCAGAGGGAATAACTGTAGCTTCTCTCTCTAAAGATGGTGATGTAGCTGAAGCACTAGAAGATGAAGAAAAAGGCATAACTGATCAAAAAGAAAAGACTGATAGTAGAAGATCTCCAGGAAGATTCAAATTTTGGCTTCCCAGTATTGGCTTTTCATCTTCTGGTGATGAAACAAGCTCAGATTTGAAAACAGAAGTAAAAAAATCGGTTCCAGAAGACATGAAACCTACTGACACATTAGATGATGATTCTTCTAAGCAAACAGAAAAAACTGGATGGTTTAGATTTCCCAAGCTTGGTTTCACATCTCCTTCTAAAAAGGCAAGGACTGGTGACAAAGAAGAGGAGACAGGACAAAAAGATAGAAGCTCAGATGAAGATAGTCCATCAGATAAACCCGATGTATTTTTTGATGCACAAGAAAGCTTATCACCTAAAGAAACAATAACAGAGAGTGAAAAAACTGAAATTGATGGGACATCATCTAATGTTCTGGTTTCTCGAGATATTGTTACATCTTCAGCAAGAACTGAACTAATCTTGTTGGAAGAAGAAAAAGGGAGCCAATCAAATATTCCTGGAGATACAACCAAATGAGAATTGTTTTTTCCTAACCCTCAATGAAAGTAACCTGCATATACAGAGAAAAAAAAATGTTTTCTGAATTTTCCAGTAACTGAAAATGAAACAAAACTTAAAACTGACATTCATGAAAAGTTTGTTGAACATAATTTACCACATATAAATTTTCAAGAACATGAATGTGCTATACTGCGCACTAATAGAATTATTTATTTCTTCAAATTACACAAAAAGAAACAAACAACTACAGATACAGGGAAGTTCATAGTTTTAACAGTCTGAAAAGATACATGAACTGTGAAAGCAAACCATTGAAAGGCTCAAAGACAGCAAAAAGGCTTGTTAAATAGGCTTCTCAAAAATAAAGTGATTATGTTTAGATTATAGATTATTTGCAGAAAGGAGTATAAACTAATACTATGAGAACTATACGTACATGTTTAGGTTTTATATTGAAACCTTTCTGACCTATTTTGCCTTCTTATTAAAATACTTTCTTTATTTCAGCTAGAGTATATGTATATTCCACATTTTAAAATGCAAAATAAAAACAAAATACTAGTGTAGATGGAATAACACTTTCCCCTTTCCCCTCTTTTCTTTTTCTGATTATTGTGGTGGTTCATACTTAGCCTTAAAAGATTTTAAAAAACAACAACAAAATAAATTCGAGACCAAAAAATATATAATTGATTCAAACTTTCAGAATACCAGAAGAAAACATGGTGACAAAAAAAAATGATAAAAATGTGGGTAAATAAAGTGTTTATGTATATATTTACTGACTAGTTAAATGCATAAAATGCATAGAATGATCTGCCACACTTTGGTGGAATTGCTTCAAAGATTTTCTGGGAAAGTAGATGTATATAATTATTTACCTCTTTGTTTATATTAATGCTTTTCTCAAGTGCACAGCCAAAACCAGAGTGAATATTTGACAGCCTTCACAGGTATCATTAAAACACTGACTGTATTCTTAATTCACAATAAACTCACCATATGAATAATAACATGAGTAGCATGAGTTACTGATAGTTCTGCTAGCATTTTCAGATTCTGAAAACCACGACTGCTACTGCGAAGACGGCTTAAATTTGCAAAAGGTTTGAGTATACTGCACTGTCTGCTAAGTGGTCACTTCATGACAGCAGTTTCTAAATGTGGAGGTAATGGTTTCAGACTAATCTGAGACTTTTCACCCATTGCAATCCTGAGTTTTATATACTTGCATGTGCAGTCATGCCTCTTTATTGTAATTTTTCTCACTCCATATTTTCCCATATTCTATTTAGTACCGGAAAAGCAAATACAGCAAAACATTTAAAAATTGGCTTGTAAAGGGAGTGTACTTGGATGTCAAACCATCTCTAACTTGATATGTTCTTCATTCCTACGTCTTTGAGGTAGACTCAGACACTCTAAAGAGAACTCCTGGCACCTTGTGCTTCTGATACTCTCTCTCTGAAGAGATTGTTCACGCAAGTATTAGGCATGTATCACTTCTTTGGATCATGCAACACTTACCTGAAACTTCACTACATTTATATGTCATTGTTTAATAGACCCAAAATTACCACACCAGACAGTAACAACTTACCCCAGAACTGAGGAAAAGAATTATGACCAAACCAGAAAAATTGAAGCCAGGAAAATGTAAGGTGTGTAATAAAGAACATCCCATTCTAACAGCAGTCTACGTTTGCCCTCAAGGCAGCCTTCAGATAAAACGCTTCTCAGGTAAGTGTGCATTTACCTAGGCCCACAAGTAGGAATCTCCTATATAGCACCATATGTAGGTGTCTGTTGGGAATGGCAAAAGAATGAAGGCAATTAAAATTGAGCTTTGATAGAGTAATGGCCACAGAGCAATAATGACTATGTTTTAAAAGATGAACAAAATAGACGAGGAAAGAGCAGCAGAGAAAAGCAGCAGCAATAAAACCTTCCTCTGAATAGTCTACTGTCAGTTCTGGGAAAGGTGAAGATTTGGAAGAAAGCAATCAATCAGGTTGATAAGGCAATACACAGGTGTCTGACCACAGGAATAGCTAAAAACAGAGCTCAAAGAAGTGCAAGGATCACAGAGACAAACCTGCAGAACATAACGACATTTTGTCAACAGGGTCCTGTGATTCAATCCCACCCACACGCTCAGTTTGAGACTCTCAGGTTGCTCTCATATCTACAGTAAGTTTTTTTCCTTGTTTACTGCTGTTTATTTTTGAACATCTGAAAACTTGGGCTGTTCAGCTAACACCCCTGTGCAGTCTCCAGTCGAACAAACCCAGAACTCTGATTTGACATGCTAAGGAAGGTATAAACACATTAAAAAAGAAAACCACTTCCCCCCCTCCAATAATGTCATGCATTGTTCAGACATGAATGCATCTTTATTGGTTGGCTATTTTGTTGTTATTTTTGAGCTAGAATCTCTGATATCCCAAAAGCAAGACGGCCAAAACTAATCCTGAATGAAGTAATACAGAGGTCTTGGAGTCAGTGCCCCCAGCAGAAGAGCTATATTCCAGAAGGTGTGGAGATATTTATGGCGTTGAAAAAATTAAATGTGCATAGAGGTAGCATAAATGGCAGGTGAGAAGTTCTCTCAGTAGGTAGGTGAAAGCAAACAAGGTATGAATTATCTGGAAGAACTAGGAGAGGACAGCCTTGGATAACAGGGGAAAAAATCCCAAACAGAAAATACCAAGCTGGTACCCAACGCATGAAGCCAGGTGACTTTGCTGTGCTGTCAGAACTCATGACCCTACAGAGCCAGCTAGGTTCTGCCTTGCTGTAGTCTCTATTGCTCTCAGTAGTGCTGACCAGGCTCGGACCCAAACCAAGCCCTTCTAGAAATGAGACTGCTGGGAGAGCAGTGGGGAAAGCTCTGCATGAAGTCTGCTCAGGTACTGCAGGGCACAGTGCTGGGTACGGTGCTTCCAGACCCAAGCTCATCCTAGGAGAGTAGCCATATTCAAGGCCCAAGCCAGTAATTTTTTCTAGACCAGAGTAGTGAGAATCATATGAGTTGCCTACAGCCAGGGTTTAGCTGACTTCCAAACTAGAAAATCCATTCAAGGATAGTAGATGTTAATGAATAATACTGGAAGCCTCAGCTAAGGTTGAGGACAGCCCACACCCTGAAGTACAATCTAAATGAAAGATACAGGCAACCACAACTGGTGGAGGGGAAAAGATTATTATTAACCCTGTTTCACAGCAGGAAAAAAAATTCTGAGCTTCAGGGACTGGTTATCTACCTATCTACCACTGTACCCTCGCAAAGGAGAACAAGTAAATGAAAATCAAGCTACCAAGGAGCCTCAAAAGTCTCACAAGAAACTAGAAAACTAAACTCAGGACCCCCTGAGAACCAGTTTGTTGTCTTAATCGTAACCCTCTTCTTCACATATGGAGGAAAAATAACACAGGTGATGCTGATAAAGAGAACAAAATACCACTCTTGTGAACACCACTTTGTTCTTTATAAGCTGACTCTCAGCCCACAGGAATCTTCAGTTACCAAAAACAAGCCTCCCAGTTGGCCCAGAAACCGTGCCCCACTGAACAACTTAATCAGCTCTTGCAGATTTAAGCTCGCAAGTGCAGAAGAAAGTTTTCTTCTCCTTATTCCTGCAAAATTTACTACCCAAACCCACAATGAAAATGTAGCTTCGAGTGCCATCTAGAGGAGCAAACACAGGGAAAGTACTTTTGTGGGTTATAGGCATGACTTCTCAAAAAGATTTTCAAATTAACTCTACCATTCAGATGTGCTTGTTGCTGGATCCTGGGAAAAAATCTGTCCAGAGGTGGTTCCTGCATAGAAGTATTAATATAGCAAAGCATTATTTGTATTTGCTGGTACAGGATAATAAACCTGTGAAAAAGAGCTAGTGAAAACCAGTGAGGCGTGGTTTCTACTTTGCAAGGAATTATAATTAGGGAATGGAAAATCTCAAAATATTAAATAGGATCTAGAAAGGAAATGGGGGAGGAAAGTGCTAAAAGCAACTGCATCTTATCAATATGTTTGCAAGTATGTGAATGGTCACAAAATTTCGGTGTTACTTGTAGATATAACTAAAAACCTTAAAAATACGCCTTTACAACAACACACATTGTTTTGTAATGATGACTACATCAATCCAAGGAACCCTGGAAAGGCCTGGAAGAGATGGCTAAGGAGCTGCCTGGAAACCAAAAAATGTTACAGTGGAGAATTGTTTGGGATCACCTCCAACACGCATTGTGGAGGGCTCTTATTTGTAGGGGGATTTGTATGCCTTCACAATGCAACAAATCAGTCCACAGTAAGCACCATGGCAGCAGTTCCCTTTGTTATTCTCAGCACAGGATAGGGATTCAACAGCACCAAGAAAACAAATTGCATCCTCCAGAGGGTGGGGAGGATGCACCCTGATGGGAAGCTTGTACTCCCTCTGCCCAGTCACTACTGTGCTTATGCCATGTGAGATGGCCTCAGACCTCTGGGCTGTCAGCACAGTGGCTACCAAATGGTGTTAAAAAGATCAGCAGCATGTTTTACCAGTGCGTTTCAGACGTATTGCGAAATGTAACTAAATGGGGCACTGACCGGATGGTGGCATGAGACCCTGAGCTGCCACGTGCCTTTCAGGGCTGGCGTGGTCTGGTACGGTTTCAGAGCTGTGGAGATGGGAGTGTTGGAGCTGGACGTCTGCCCGGCCCGTCTCTGAAGCCGTGCAGAGGAGCCACGCGCCGCGCTTTCGCTGTAGGCTCTCCCGCACGCGCTCTCCCTGGCTGCACATCAATCCCAGAGCGAAAAGCTCTCATTCCGGCTCCACATGCTCTTCTTGGAGTCATCTAACATTGCGCCATCTCCTGAGCCTCTCCGATCTCCCTTAACCTCCCCTTCACCCTCTGCCAGGGCGGGCCTGCCACACCATAAACACGCTGCTTGGCTTAGAGCGACGCTAGCGTTTTCAGACACCACCATCTTGTGGCGGGCCAACCCCCCCGCAGCGCGGGCGCGCTGG